TGTGTAACTCTAGGACAAAGATGAGTAACCTCCGAATGGGGGACGCATTGTCCCTCCTGAACCCACTAAAGGCCATCCCTCCTACTGATATTGAGCCATGAGGTTTGCTGCCATATAATGTAATTTCAGCTGTAATTGGCATGGGCTGGCATACAGCTGACACACAGTGTCCTTTGTGTGTGGAAATCTTGGCGCTGGATAGAGCTCACTGGTGGTCCATGGAAGACATTATGATGTATCAATTGGGGTGTTCCATAACTTGTTTGGGGGTACAGAAAGAGAAGACTCCCTGGAAAAGACCCTGATGTTGGGAAAGTGTGAGGGCAAGAGGAGAAGGGGACGACAGAGGACGAGATGGCTGGACAGGGTCATTGAAGCGACCAACATCACTTTGACCCAACTCCAGGAGGCCGTGGAAGACAGGACGGCCTGGCATGCTCTGGTCCATGGGGTCACAAAGAGTCGGACACGTCTTAACAACTAAACAACAACAACAGAAACTCAGTTCTTTATCTGTCATTAGGTAAATGTGCATTGCAAAGAAATTTCTATGTTCCTTAGAAAGAATACTTTTGTACCTTGAAGGGGGAGAGCTCTGCTTCTTGATTCGGGGTAGAGCAAAGCTTAAGTTAAGGAACACATAAACATTATACAAATCAATACCCCTGATGAACATAACACAATAAATTTTTAGCAATTTTTTTATTTGTTTGGCTACAAAATGGCCTGCTAGGCATCCAAAGAAACCAAAATCTCAGGAAAGCTTCCCCTGGCCCTTTTCTACATTCCCCCCAAGACTAGTGAAGATTGAATTTCAGAGGTCTGAGTTATACACCCACAAAGGGGGCCCCTCCAGGAACATCCTCCCCGGCACTTTATAGATACCAAAATCAGAGAGAAGCTTCTGATGATTCTTCTCTACAATTCTGTCAAGTTTGCTGAAGATTTGGTTTCCCCAAGCCAGCTGCTAAAGGGTACTTTCCTTGGGGGGGATCAATTTTGTGGGTGTATAACTTAGATGTCTGAAACCCAAGCTTTACCAAACTTGGAAGGTCAGTAGTGGAGAGCAGTAGAAGGTTCTGCATGATTTTGGAGTGTCTAGATGGCTGGGAGGAACTTTCGGGGGGGGGGGCTCTTTTTGGGTGTATAACTTGAAAGCCTGAAACCCAAATTTGTTGACCTTGATGAATCATGAATCAAAGTGAACCACCTTTTTAAAAAAATTCATGCCCATCTCTACTTGTGTTTCAAAAAGTTAAGTTGGATGGGATTGAAAATAGACCTGATGCCCCTTTCTTCCAATTCTGTTGCTGGTTTTTGGCTGATTAGAATAATTCCTAGGAAGATTGAGGATGCAGTTTCACCTCCAATGCATTGGAATCAAAATTAATTTCTCATTTTTTTAAAAAAAAATTAAGTCTGCTATGAACTGATGGGGTTAAAATTCAAGGAAGTTTAGGATACAATCAGACAATATTTAGATCACATTTTGGACTGCCTCTGACACTGTTTGGTTCACTATATTTTCTGGCGGCCAGATGACACTAAGGAGACTGCACACCAGCCCAACTCTGCTGTGTTCCTAGTCCAGAACATTTTGGTCCAGTGGCAGTGCTGTTCTCTTTTTTTTTGCAGCAGCAGCAGCAGCAGGCTGGAGCAATCTGGACTAGAAGGCATATGGACAGAAGAATCTCTTTAAACGGTTGCTTTGAAGATCTCACCCAATGAAGCAACCCTTTCTGGTTATTCATCTCAAACTTTAATTAATTAATTAATATTCTGACCACACTACCCAAAGGTCTCTGGCCAGCTTACAACATTTAAAATACAATAAAATTCAACATTTAAAATACAATTAAAATATATATAAAATTGCCACTGGACCCACAGCTAATATTATTTCAATTAAAAGCCTTCTGGAACACGAAGGTTTTTACCTGGCGCCAAAATGTCATCAGTGTCGACGCCAGACAAATTTCAGTCGGGAGGGCATTCCATAGTATGGGGGCAGCTGCCGAAAAGGCCCTTTGTCTACAAGCCCTCCCTCTTACCTCCTTGAGGGATGGCTCTTTCAAAAGGGCCCCCTGGCTAGATCTTAACTGCCAGGTAGGTTCATATGGAAGGAGGCGGTCCTTCAGGTATCCAGGGCCCAAGCATTTAGGGCTTTATATGTCAAAACAAGCACTTTGAATTGGGCCCGGGCAGCAACTGGTAGCCAATGTAACTTGAACAGAATCGGCTTGATATGTCCCTTAGCGGCCCCACCACTCACCAGCTGCGCAGCTCGATTCTGGACCAGTTGCAGTCGCCGGACCATCTTCAAAGGCAGCCCCATGTAGAGTGCATTGCAGTAATCTATGTGGGATGTTACCAGTGCATGTGTGACTCTCATGAGACTCTGCTCATCCAGGTAGGGCCGCAGCTGGTATAATTTCCGCAGCTGAAGGAAGGCCTCTGGCCACCGAGTCCACCTGGGCTTCCAGTGTTAGACTGGGGTCCAGGAGCACCTCCAAGCTGCAGACCCTGTCCCTTAGGGGGAGTGCAACCCCATTCAGGGCAGGGAAATGGCCCTCCAGCCTGTCCGGCGAAGCACTCACTAACAGCACTTCCGTCTTGTCTGGACTGAGTTTCAATTTATGTTACCATCTGATCGCATCCTTACTGTCCACCTGCTGGGAGCCATTTCCCTCACTTTTATCTAATGTGCAAGGCAGGTGAAACTGCTGGAGGTGCCTGGCAACTCAAAACAGTTTCACTTGCTCCGTACAATAGACCAGTGATTCCCAGTCTTGGGTAATCCAGATATTCTTGGACTGCAGTTCCCAGAAGCCTTCACCACCAGTTGGTGTTGGCTGGAGTTTCTGGGAGTTGCAGTCCAAGAACACCTGGGTTACAATAGATGACAGAGAGGAAGACAGCTCACCCCTTTCTAAATAATAGGCAACAATGGAGCTTCCTTGAATGTTAGCCCTATTATATAGGAAGAACCAGCTTCCCATATAAAGTCACCACCATCATCCTCCCCCCCTTTTTAAAATCTCTCCAGCCATTCTATCTGTTCTCCCACTCTGCCCCTCCTCTTTGATCTTAGTTTTAGGTGATGGTCCCCCACCCTCTTGCTCATTTCAACAGAGACCAGTGTTTGGACTGCAGCTTGTGCACATGGTCACAAGTCACCACTGTGGCTAGGAAACTGGCAATCTTGTCTGTTCGACACAGTAGGTTTGTTTGATAAAGGAACTGAGTAGAACCTTCAAGGAGCTGCTTGGCTTTTATAATCCACACTATCAAAATAAGCAGGGTTGGGTGCTGCTTTAAATGTCATGGTTTGCACAAAAGACTCATGTTTGGTGAGAGGGTGAAAATTCCCAGGTAAGAGATAAGTGAATGACAGTTTGCGTCATGCTTTGTTGTTTCTGCTGCAACAGAATCAGTGGGCAAATTCACTGGCCATTTACTCTGCAATTTGCATCAGATTTGGGACAGAGGAAATAATTAAAACCCGGCTACATGACATAAAGCTCAATGCAGTAAAGCACAATTGGGATTCATATCTTTTCTGCAGGAAATTATCCTCTTTTTGTTCATCCGGCAGGAAAGGTTTAATTTTGCTCTGACTGACTGGCATCATTTTTCTCTTCTTTCGGTCACGTGTGGCCACCTGCAAAGGAGTGCTCAGTTGTCTCCAAACAACATTTTTTTTTTAAAAAAAAGGGGGTTTTCTTCTTCTTCCAAAGTCAGCACTGATAGAAAAGAATTATGTCACCTTGGAGTAAAAAAAAAGAAGGGAAGGGAAGGGGATAGAAAAGAATTATGTCACCTTGGAGTAAAAAAAGAAGGGAAGGGAAGGGAAGGCACATTGGGTGCTCTTCTGTAGGGGAATACTGTATCCAGCTGAGAAGCAGACAAGTTCTGAACAGACAAAAAAGTGCATGTCTCAACACTTGGAACAGGGGGATCCTAGGCACTGCAAATCGAATGTGGGTCCCCAGAGAAGCAAAGAAGATCTATTCTTGCCAGTCTCTTGAGATCTAATGAGGGGCAAGGAACTTAACTGCAATTGGCCTATTTCGGAGAGTTTACTCATTTGAACTCCTGGTGTGCTGGCTGGAAGAAGTGGAGTACAAAAAAGTAAGTTCTTCTTGGTGGTCTCTGTAAATGCACACAATAGGGTTGTTTTGCATGTGTGCAGAGGTTCACAGAATCTTCTAGAACTTTAGCGTGCGTTCACCAGAACCAGCCCCTTAGGACCTTGGCTGAAGTCACGGCACTTCTCCAATTGGCACGTTCAAGCCCCAGGTTTATGGGATGCTTGCTGGTGTAGGCTCAGAGTTCTGACTCAGCCTTCACTGGGGTGGACCTTCTGCTGCCTTGCAAGTGGGCAAGGAAAGCTTGTCATGCTGTAGACACCTGGTGATAGGATACTGAGCCACTTCAGCCTCTTCTGAGTCCATGACCATCAGCATAGCCTGATATTCAGGCTGTACATCGCTACCCAAAGCGTGTCGCTCTTTATGATCATCCCACCTACTATGAGCCCCAGCCCAGGTCATACTGAGAAGAGCCAATGGACCCATGATTCTATCTGGCATCTAGGTGCCACCACTACT